TTATTTTTATTTTATGTGTATGAGTGTATTGCCTGCATGTAGGTAAACACACTTGTGTCGTGCAATGCCAGTGGAGGACAGAAGAGGATCCCCTGGAACTGGAGTTACGGACAGTTATTAGCTGCCACGTGGGTGCTGGGATTGAAATCCTGGTCTTCTGCAAGAACAGCCAGTGTTCTTAACCTCTGAGCCATCTCTCTAGCCCCCTGATTTTACGTTCTTAAACAATGGAGTTCCAGAGTTCTGTTTTGCTTTACCCATATCTTCTCAAACTTTTGTAATCTGTCATTTTTTTTCTGTGTGTGTGTGTGTGTGTGTGCATGTGACTGTGGATGGATATGTGTGTGTGTGTGTGTGTGCATGTGACTGTGGATGGATATGTACCTGTGCAGGATGTAGGCATGTTCCTCTATTGCTGTCTGCCTTACTGCCTTGAGCCAGGGTGTCTCACTGAACTTGCTGTTTAGGGTAGGCTTGAAGCTTGCTGTTTAGGGTAGGCTCACTGGCCAGCAAGCTCTGTTGGATCCACCCATCTCTGCTTCCCAGTGCTCTGGTTACTGGCTCATGCAGCTATGCCCAACTTTTTATGTGGGTGTTGAGCATTCAAACTCAGGTCCTCATTCTTGCAGAACAAGCACTGCTACCCACTGAGCCATCTCCCCAGCTCTCTGTCATTGTTATGACCTGGCCATTCTCAGAGCTTTGTGGAGACTGCAGGAGGTGTACTGCCTAGTCCATTCAATCCCTGGTGCAAATTTGTTAGAATCCAGGTTGTCACAACGCAACTAGAAGGATGTATGCAAGTGTTCTGTGAATAGACGGAATCTGCGTTTTATTAACCATTGGATTGAGATCATGGAAGTGGTTTCATGCCCACTTCAGATCTCTTGTTTTTCTTGGACTCAGGGAGATTTGCATGTGCTCAGATCCCATTCTTGTTTGGGGATTTTGCCTGTATTCTCTCAGATAGACTAAGTAATTTAAAGCTGAGACATCGAATGAGTGGACAAACTCCTTGCAGGAGGAGCTGGTGGACCTGGGGATGTCTGCATAGTGAGGAGGAGGAAGACTGGACTCTGGAATTGCTGAGCTTCTGTTAGATCATGGGCCTGATGCTTTAAGGCAGGGCTGCTTTAAGACTAGAACAACCAGTGAGGGATCTAGCCAAGGTCTGTATCTCTCTGCTTTTATATTAGCAATGTGTCAATACGGCTCCCCACCCATTTTCCCAGATACAGGCAAGTGGCACTCCTCTGCCCAGCCTAGAGTGGCCAAAGCCTTGCAGTATGGCCTTGTCTCTTATCTAAATGCCTCCAAACCATAGTGTCTCCAAGTCACATGCTCCTTGTAATGAAGACCATATATTATCTTAGAGCACCAAACCACTCTAGAAATTTACAAAAAATGTTCTCATTGTTCCCTGTACTCTTCCTTTGGTTGGGATTTGTAGAGTCCCCACTGTGATGACCAGTGTTATTAAAAGAACCTGTCTACTTGAATACGTCTCAGTGCCTGTCTGTATGGAACCAGCTCTCATAACACCAGCCAGGCTGCTAGGAAGGCTGCTGATTTTTGTCTAATTAACTCGTTAGGGCAAATTAAACTCAACTGTCAGCAACAGTAGCCAAAAAACTATGGTGGAAATTCTACCCAGGAAGAAATGTGACCTTTGAGTTTTAAACCCTTTTCTACCTTGATCCCAGGAAATGAAACCAGGTTTAATATTGGCATCAGCATATGAAGCCTTAAGTTTGTTTCGTATTCTAGACAGATTGATCTATGCTGAGTGATGGAGTCAGGTTGCCACATGTCTGGAGGCTGTCTTCCTCCTCTCAAAGTGATGATGGAGGCTTGGAAATCTCTTTCCAGTTGTATAGCATGCTACCCAGGTAGCGTTCATGCTGGAGTGTGCCTGGGCATTCCTAATTAATTTATAGAGTTTGCCCAAATTGCCCAGTATATAGAAATGAACTCTTCTATAGGTTTGGAAAGGGAATTCAGACATATGTACATGTTTATCAGATTTACTGTCCATGGATGGAAGGAGGGCCAGGAGTCTGTTCCAGGACTTTGTAAATGTTTTCCACTCAGGATCCTTTTTTGCCTGTGAAACTTTATGTGAACCCAGATATAAGTGTATTTAAAAATAGCTATAGAAATCTAATATTCATTGATCATAAATTATACAGAAATTTATTTTAAATATTATTTATATTTTATATATATATATCAGTGTATTGCTTGCATGTGTGTGAGTGAACCCTTGTCATGCAGCGCCTGTTTAGGTCAAAAGAGGGTGTTGGATCCCCTAGAACTGGAGTTACAGACAGTTGTTAGCCACCAAGTAGATGCTGGGAATCAAAACTGGGTCCTCTGCAACAGCAGCCAGTGCTCTTAATCTCTGACTCATCTCTCCAACCCCTAAGAAATTTGTTTTAAATCAGCTCTTTGATATACAAACTTTACTAGTTGTTAAAGAAGAAAGTAAGTTTACATACAAATGAGATGCATGTACCTGTGTATCTAAAACAGTACTAGTGAAATATGTATTAATTTGATACTTACATGCTGAAAAATAAAAGTAGGAAAATATTAAAAGATCTTTCTTTTCCATAATTAAATCATTTTGTTTCTATAAGAGTAGAAAGCTGGGGCTGGAGAGATGGCTCAGCAGTTAAGAGCACTGACTGCTCTTGCAGAGGACCCGGGTTCGATCCCAGCACCCACATGGTGGCTACGAACCGTCCTTAACTCCAGTTCCAGGGGAATCTGAAGCCCTCTTCTGACCTCCACAGCATTGCACGACACGGATGCACTCACATGCAGGCCATACACTCATACACATAAAAGTAATAAATAAAAATATTTTTAAAAAAAGAGTAGGAAGCTATATGCAGAGTAAAATCACTGCAGTTGACTGCAGTTCAAAGCAGGGTGGATGGCACCTGCAATGTGTGTGCTCACAACAAAGGCTATTTAACGTCAGCTGATGAACACAGGTGAGTGCTGCCAAAACCCGTGATTCAGTCTACATTTCATTCTGAATTCAATTCTGGTCATTGTATACTTAGAAATATTTTACTTTGTGATATTTTTTGCAACACCTACATTCATTGTGAGATGCCCATATGGAGTCATGACCTACATTTTAAGAATATGATCTTTTCTGCTGTTGGTATTGGGAACGGAGTCTTGCTTTTTCTGAGCCTGTGCTGTAGCGTAGTGCTCCGACACCCAGCCCCCATAGCTGCCTTTCCATTGTGGTGTTCATGTTTTGCACATTTAATGTTATTTTTATGTGGTTGGGTTTGTACATGCCTTTCTCTTGTAATAATGCAAACCTTACACATGCATTTATTTACAAATTTTGATTCTATTGTAATTGTTGGAGAACTCTTTAGTCATATTTTGAGTCACTAATACAGAGATAAGATATTTATATTGGTTTTTCTTTGTCCCACAATAAAGAATTCAAATCAAGCTATACATTCTCTCTCTCTCTCTTCCCCTCTCTCTCTTTCTCACATACACATGCGCACACACACAAACACACACAAAAGTGAATTCCCACCTTGTGTTCCTGATGCTGAGGCCTTGGGTTGATGAGAACTGTGTGGTTGCAGGGGCTGTTGTCGTTCGAGGACATAGCTATGGACTTCACCTGGCAGGAGTGGCAGGAGCTGGATGCTGCTCAGAGGACCCTCTACAGGGATGTGATGCTGGAAAACTACAGCAGCCTGGTGTTTTTGGGTGAGTCTGATGCCCTGTAACTCTCAGTAGCACTTACATCCTTCCTGGTTGATATCTATAGGAGTCATTGCTAGCTTTTAATACTAAATTAATAAACATTTTAGCTGACACATGCCAATCCTGTACATCTGTGGAGAACAGTATGGCTTTGCAGTACTGGTAATAATATATCAAATGAAGCTAATTGGTAGGTATATCGCCTTGGACAGTACTTGTTTATAATGAGAGCATTTACTACTGCTCAGATGTGTAGTTTGAAATATTCAGTTAATTGTCAGTCATCTCTGCACTATTTCACTATAGAACATAAAAACTTATTCATCCCTTCCAAATGCACCCAGTAAATACTAACCGTCTTGTCTTCATCACTGTCTCTCTTCCCTGTATCTTTTCCACACTGTAGTAACTGCTATTTAGTTCTCTACCTCTCTGAGGTCAGCTTTAGCTTACAGGTAGAAGAAGAAACTGAAGAAAGTGCAGGATTATTCTTTTCATGGCTGACATGTTTTGCCTATGCCTTGTAGTCTGTTCTAGAAAGATGTAGAAGAAACATCTATTCATTCCAACTGTGGAGAAAATTAGTAACTGAAAGAAAAAATGCCCTCAGTTGCAGCTTGGTTAATAAAAAAGTTTGTTGGGGATACTTGGAGAGCAAGAGTGACTGTCAGGCAGCTGTGCCACCGGAAACCCAAACCTTAGTTTTCGCCTTTGTTTGCCACAGGCATTTGGGTCCTGGAGTCCTGGTTGGAATCGCTTGAGTCCATTATAGGCATATGAGGCTATGCTAACAGCCCAGGTACTGGTATCATAGGCCTAGATACCTGTTACATCGCTTTCTTTCTTTTATTGCCTTGACTGTGGGACCAGTCTCCTGTAGGCCTCTACAATGGTTCCAGTCAACATGGCAATGAGGAAATAGCAATACTACAACTTCACAAAATGCCCTCCATTTCTGACATCGTGTTGGACAAATGACTATCCATAGATATCCTGCTTTGAAAAGAAGGGTTATCCATGCAAGTGAGAGAGTGTTTTGGTGGTGGTGGTGGGTTTTTTTTTTTTTTTTTTTTTTTTTTGGTCTTTTTGAGACAGGGTCTCCCTGTAGCCCCAGCTGGCCTGGAACTTGCTATGTCGACCAGGCTGGGCTCACAGCCTGCAAGTTTTTATTTATTTTAATGAACAAATATTTAGTTGTTTATTTATGCCATATGTTCTTTACCTGTTATTGTCGTTGAATACCCATGTTAATTCCATGTCTTGGCTTTTGTGAACCATGATGCAATAAATAGGGTGTACAGAATTCTCTGCAAAATATTGGTTCCTTTCATTTGCTTATAAGGTAACAGTGAATCATCTACTGATTCTGTATTTAGATTTTGTTTGTTTGAGACAGAGTCTCACATTGCCCATGCTGGCTTCAAACGTTATATAGCCAAGACTGGCCTTGAATTGCTGATCCTCCTTCCTCTACCTGCTGAGTGTTCAGATGATAGGTGTGTGACCCTGTCACCAGGATGTGAGCTGAGGGCCAGTTGCCCTGGAGTCTGTTCTTCCCAGAGGTGGGATTGAATGCCCAGGGAGGACCGATGTTGTGAAAGCAGGCTTTTATTGAGGCAGAAAGTAAAGAGCAGGAGCTGCCGACATCCTGTCTTGGAGGGGTCTGCAGAGCTGGTAGGCCACCAAGTGGCTTCTGGGCTGGTTCTTTTGTAGGATCCCCAGGTCTTTCCTTTGTTTCCCTCTTCCCACACTTTAGTTTTTGGGCCCATGTGTCCCCAGCAAGGGTAGAGATAATTAAAACAGACATCCTTGTCGGACTGATAGCCCTGTTAGGCCAGTAGTCTTATTTTATGGTGTATGGCCTCGCTTTGACGTATTCCAGGAGTTAAGTGGGAATGCTTTTCCTTCCCTCCTTCTGACCTTTGCTGTAACTGCCTCCCCTTAGCTAAGTCCTAATCCTCACCCCCCACCCCAACTACCCCAGGACATGGTCACAGGGCTCATCCATGTTCATTTCTTTCTTCTCAGCAATTAGCTAGGAAATGGAATCAGCTTAGATGTATTATATCTAATGGCATTCTATTGAGCTGTGAAGAGAAATGAATTTATGTGAGTATGGTCATCCAGACCCAGAAAGACAAACTATGTTCTCCTCTGGATCTTTAGATATGTGTTGTATATGTTTACTTGGGAATACCTGTAGAAACCAGGAAACTAGGACGGGGTGTGCCTTAAGAGAGGAGGTTACCAGAGGCAGGTGAATCTCTGTTGAGTTTGAGGCCAGCCTGGTCTATACAGTGAGTTCTAGCCTAGCCAGGGCTACATAGTGAAACCCTGTCTCAGAAACCCAAATGAGAGAGAGAGAGAGAGAGAGAGAGAGAGAACGCACAATATCCTTCTTGGCTAGATAATGGTGCTCCAAGAAGCCACTGGTTATTAAATAAAAATCCCATTGCCAGGTGTGGGATAACCTTATGAGTTGTTGGTCAGGGACACCACAGAGATTCCCCAAAATAATACATCTTGCCATTCGTTTTGGTTACCCACCAGAACTAAGTTATAAGACCCTGTTGCTGAAGACACCACTATACACTGACTCCGAGATACAGAGAAAGCAAGCAGGGACTGAGCTGGAAGCTTCCTTCCTGTTGGAAGTTTTCATAATGCTGGAAGGTACTATGCAGGCTTCTGGGTCGGGAAAAGCATCAGTGATCTTAACCAGCTTTGAACTCTACAAACTACAATGCCAACCCATCAGCAAGCTGTGCCTATTGCTGCAATAGTGCCATGGCTGTTATGGGGGTACCAGTTGCTCTCTGATAGGATCTGAGGCCCTTTCTGCAGGAACAGTATCATACCTGGTACCATAAACTCAGTAAAGAAACTTCTGACTGGGAAGATCATAGGCCCTTTCAGGGAACTTACTATTGTTGTTTAGTTAAACTGACATCAAAAATTTTCTTCTAAACATTAATTTTATCTCATAGATATGTATAGTTCTCCACCTTAGTCAGAGAAGCTAGGTTATCTTTATAATGAATAGTGGTGACTGCAAACTCTTGGCTGCTCAAGCTGCTTATAGGGACAGTTGAATGCTCAGTCCTAAACAGGACATTGGTACTACCCTGCTAAGTCTCGGAGAGTAGTACATACGAAGGGACAAAAAGAATATAAGATCCTGGAGATAGTGGGGACTGAAGTGCTGTCTTGTGGGCATGGCACAGCCTTTGTGATTGTAACTCACAATTGGACCTGTCAACATCTAGTTACTGATGGGGGAGGGACTAACAAGGTTCTCCTTCTATCTGTTGAACTATTGGCTTCTGCTGGATTTGGGGGAAGGGAGGAGTCATTATTTCCAGGCTCCATCAAATACTTCCTTAACATTGGTCACACAGAGGGCATTGGATAAACTCAGGGTCACAAAGCCGAACAGAAAGACATGGACATGGAAGAAGGACCTATAGGGAAGGGGGAACATGACAGGTATAGACAGAGGCAAGAAAACATGGGATGAAAGTCATCAAAACACATTGTATACATGTCTGAAATTGTCCAGTAACAAATTTAATTTAAAAAAATCTGTGTTCAGAGTTATTTTTTTCTGCATGATCAATTCAGCTGTGGAGTCTTTTCCTTTTTTAATTAGTTAATTCGTTTAATTTTTGATTATTTTGAGACAGGGTCTCATTATTAGTCTGTCTGGCCTGAAAGTCTCTGTAGACCAGACTGACCTCAAATTCTTAGAGATCCATGTGCCCCTGCCTTCTGAGTGCTGGGATTAAAGACCTGTATCACCACACCTGGCTTAAGTTACATTTTTTTGAATTTTATTTATTTAGAGTGTGTGTGTATGTGTGTGTGTGTGTGTGTGTGTGTGTGTGTGTGTGTGTGTGTATTAGTTACTTTTCTGTTGCTGGGATAAAACACCATGACCAAGGCAAGTTATAGAAGGAAGAGTTCATTGAGCTTACTATTGGAGAACTGCTAAGAGGCCATCATGGCAGCGAGGCATGGTGGCAGAGGTGACAGGAACAGAAAGCTGAGTGCCCACGTATCCAAGCAGGAGCAGGAAGCAGAGAGAGACTGACTGGAAATGGGCATGGCTATATATTCTTAAAGCCTGCTCCTAGTGACGCTCTTCCTCCAGCATGGCCATACCTCCTAGGGATTCCATGACCTTCTAAAACAGCACCACCAACTATAACCAAGTGTTCAAATACTTGAGCCTATGGGGGACACTTCATTAAAACCATCACGGTGTGTGGTGTGTCTGTTCATGAAGTGTGTGGGCACATTTGCGATGGAGCATGTGCGGAGGTCAGAGGGCAACTTTATGGATTGAATTCTCTCCTTCCTCCTTAATGTGGGTTGTGGGGATTGAACTCAGATCACCACGATTGCATGGCAAGCACTTTTACCCACTGAGCCATCTCTGGCTGTCTTTTCTCTTCACCCCCATCCCCATTTCATTTCAATAATTGTCTTTACTTGTAAAATGTCTTGGTGCTTCTTATTTATGAACACTTTCTTTTGTCAATCTGTCCTAATAGTGTGTGACTTTTCTTTCCAGTTTTTTGGGTTTTCCCTCCAGTTGTCTTCTGTTAACTTAAATATTCCTTTTTTTATTTTTTTTTTAAGAAGTGATCAAGTTTTTAAAAATTTTATTATTTTTTATGTGTATGAGTGTAATGCCTGCATGCATGTAAGTGCACCCAAGTCGTGCATTGTCTGAGGAGGTCAGAAGAAGGCATCAGATATGCAACTGGAGCTACAGATGGTTGTTAACCACTATGTGCGTGCTGGGAATTGAACCCAGGTCCTCTGCAGGAGCAGTCAGTGCTCTTAACTGCTGATCCATCTCTCCAGCCCCAAGCTTAAGTATTCTTAAAGTCATGATGGATTGTTTTTCCTAGAGTTTAGTGCCTGTTGAGGGTAATATTCCAATCAGCGAAGAGCCTGAGTACAGTATTTCTATACTAGGTTTCTAGCTCAGCCTTCATTGTGCAGCTTCTGAAATGGAGCTGTTGTCTTCCATCAGTGGAAGGGATTCACCACTTTGTCACAATTTTATATCATTTTCTGTTTACAGGGTACTGCATGACCAAACCTGAGTTGATCTTCAGGCTGGAGCATGGATTTGAGCCATGGAAGATAGGAGAAGCCTCACTCTGGAGTCTGCCAGGTCAGTGAACACATGCTGGAGAAGGGAGGTCAGCAGGAAAAGGACTCATAAAATACTGGTCATGTCAATCTGTTTTCACCAACTTTCTTTCAAGCCTAGTTCCTACAATAATTTGTCTTCTGTATTAGACACTAGCTTTATGTAGTCTTTCAACAGGATTCTCAGTGTCTACCCATTTACCATTAAAACTTTTTATTCACTGAGAATTTCATACATGTATATATTTTGATCATCACCCTCTCATTCCTTTCCCATTCCTTTTGAACTCCTCCCTCCCAGCAAGGCCCCCTCCTACTTTCATGTCTTTTATTTATTTATTTTTCCTGAGTTTAACTTAGGCTTGTTTGCGTGAGCATAGATGTGAGGTTATCACAGGAGTATAGGCAACTTACCAGTGACCACCTCACTGAAGAAAGTGGACTCCCCCTTCCTGGCTTCCAGTAACCTCTCATTGCTCCTGAGCAAGAAGAGGGATCTTCATAAGCCCCTTCCCACCCGTGTTGGAACTTTAATGGCCTGTCTTGTGCAGGTATCCATGTCTGCTGTGAGTTCATGAGTACAACAGACATTTCATATCCAGATGATGGCCGTTCTCAGTGTTTTTCATCTTCCCAGGCTTATATTCATTTTTTAAAAAGATTCATTGATCATTTATGTGTATTTGTGTGTGCCTGCATGAGTTATGTGAATCACATGCATGCAGCTGACTGTCCAGGCCAGAAGAAGACGTCAGGTTCCCTGGAACTAGATTTGCAGGTTGTGAGCTGCCTGATGTAGGTGCTGGGAACTCAGTCTGGGTCTTCTGCAAGAGTATTAAGTGCTCATAATGGCTGAGCCACCTTGTCAGCCTCCATTCTTTAATTCTTTCTGCCATCTCATCCACTGTGTTCCTCAGCTTTGGTGGGGAGCTGATATGGATGTCCTCTTTGGGGCTGAGTACTGAACAGTCACTTATTCCCAACACTTCGGCCATTCAGGATTTTTTGCATTAATTGCTGTCCAAGGCAAAAGGACGCTTGTCTGATCAAGCCTGAAAGCATCACCAATCAGTGGGTACAAATATAAATATTTAGAAGTCAGTTTGACAACATGTCTACTAAGCAAAACAACAGTAGTACGTTCCTGTCTAGGTCTTATGCTGTCCCCCACCATGGACTTTTGACCAGGTTTATAGTACCAGAGATCCTTCCTGTGGAGTGAGCCTCATACAGATCAGAAAGCAGTTACCCCCATAATAGTCATGCCAGTATTGCACATGTTGCCTGGCAGGACCATATGATAACATGCAGATTCCACTCCTAGGTAAGAGAGTCAATGACTTTTCTTCTCAGCAGCCTGCATAGCACCTCTGGCACTATAAAAGTTAGCTAGTAAGGAGGAAACCTCAGTTCCAGTTGGATTTCTTTTGTTCTACAACTATGGTATGTGTTGTCTTCAGCAGTAGGATTTTATCATCTAGTTCTGGAGGACAGCCAAAAGCAACGACAGTAGCCTGTGTGTGTATGTGTGTGTGTGTGTGTGTGTGTGTGTGTGTGTGTGTGTGTGTGTGTGTGTGTGTGTGTGTGTGTGTGCGCGCGCCAGGGCCTTCTGGTGTATTGCTGACCAACCACTTTGTAGGGAAGTATCCCACACCTGACATTTGGATTTTTATTTAATAACCTATGGCTTCAGCATTATCCACCCATGCAGAGAGCCTCCATTGAGATTCCTTTAAAAAATATATTTTTGCACATCTTTAGTTTTGATTAACCCTTTTCCTGCCCCTCCTGTCTTTACCCCCTACCCCCATTCTGCTTAAACCTTTCCACTTCAGTGTTCAGTATTAAAACTTGTGTTTTAATATTCCTCTTGAAATTTCAAGCTAAGATCCACATGTAAGAAAAACTTGGCATTTGTGTTTCTGGGCCTAGGTTATCTCGCTCAGTATATATTTTCCAGTGCCATCAATTTTCCTATAAATTTAATAATTTTGTATTTCATTAAAAGATGAACAAAAATCCACTGTGCATGTACCACATTATGCATTCTTCTGTTGATAGACATCTAGTGTGATTCCATTTCCTGGCTGAATAAAGCAGGACTGAACATAGATGTAAATGTGTGTCTGCAGTAAGACATAGATTCCGTTGTATGTAAGCCCAGCTGTGTTACAGCTGAGTCACATGATAGTTCTCTTTTTAGCTTTGTGAGAGCCTCCACACTGATTTCCATGGCTGTACAAGTTTACATGCCCACCAAGAGTGGGTAAAGATCCCTCATTCCCACATTCTTGCCAGTATTTGTTATCATTTGATTTCTGGATGCTAGTCATTCTTAGTGGAGTGAGATGGACTTTCAAAGAACTTTTAAGTTTTAGTTCCCTGATGGTAAGAATGTTAAACTAAATTCTTTATACTTTTTTTTAGCCATTTATATTTCTTCTCTTGAGAAATTTTAGGTTCCATGGTTTTTTTTTTTTTGGATTGGGTTATTGATTATTTTTCTTGATGTTTAATTTCTTGAGTTCTTTATAGATTCTGGATATTAGTTCTTTCTCCATTGTATGGCTGGCAAAGATTTTCTCCTGTTCTGTAGACTACCTCTGCAACTGAAGGGTATTTTGCTATAGAGAAACTTAAATTTCATCTGGTGTCATTTTTTGATTGTTGACCTTATTTCCTGAGGAAACAGTCCTATTCAGAAAGTGCTTGCTTATGCCTATGTCTTAAAGTGTACTCCCTACATTTCTCTCTAGCAGTTTTGGAGTTTCAGGTCTACATCAAGGTCCTTGATCCATTTGGAACTGATTTTTATGCAATGTGAGAGATAAGGGTCCAGTTTCATTCTTCTATATGGCAGTATCCAGCTTGTCCAATATTTTTTGAAGGTGCTGTCTTTTCTCCAATTTGTATTTCTGACACCTTTGTCAGATACCAGGTGTCTGTTCTATTGGTTTAGGTGTCTGTACACTGGTTGTATTACTATGGTTCTGTAGTATGATGTGAAATGAGGGGTGATGACACCTCCATCAGTATTATTTTGTTTAGAATTGCTGTGGGTATCTGGGTCTTTTGTGCTTCTATGAATTTTGACTTTTTTCTTTTCCTGTGAAGAATGACATTTGAATTTGAATTGGGATTATATTGATCTGTAGGATGCTTGTGGTAGGATGGCCATTTTCAAATTTTTCTTTCTTTTTGGTCTTTTTGAGATAGGGTCTGCCTGTAGCTCCAGCTGGCCTAGAACTCGCTATGGTCTGTGTAGACCAGGCTGGCCTCGAATTCACAGAGATCTACCTGCCTCTGCCTCCCAAGTGCTAGGATTAAAGGCACGCACCACTACACCTGGCTCATTTTCACACTTTTAATTGTTCATATCTTCATGAGCATGGGAGGTCTTCCTCGCATCTTTCTCAATTTCTTTCTTTAGTGTTTTAAAGTTTTCATTATAGAGGTCTTTCACTTTCTTAGCTTTATTCCAAGATTATTATTATTTCTATTTTATAAAATATTTTCTGATGGTTTACCAGAATTCTGTGGTGGATCTCTTCACTTGGGTGGTTTAGAAGAGTTTTTAAGTTCTATATATATTGTTACTTTTATGGGAATTTGCTTTCTCCTCTGTGAGTGATACTGGGGACTGAGGGTGCAGTTGAAGCTTGCTGTCTGAGCTGAGACTTCAGATAAAATGGACAGAGCTATATAACCTTATACTTGAACAAATATGGAAACCCAGCAGTTATGGGATAAAAAATCCACAGGCAAACAGTGATAACTGTTCTAAAGTTGGCATATTTTAAAAATCGAATCCATAGATATGGGAATAGATGAAATTCCAGGCAAGAAAACTGCAAAAGGCTAATTTTGGCAAGGACCCCTAAAGTGAAAGAACATACACATAAATACTTTAATGCGTCTATTATAAACTCAGCATTTCAGCTGAGAATTCATCAGAGAGAGATTGTAGAAGAAAACAGAAACAGAAACCTTTTGGCAGGAAAAGCTCAGTAAGTAAAGCACTCATGGGAAAGCAGTATGGAGAAGGCCACGCAGGTGAAAGAGCGGCAGGAGTGAAGGCTGAGCAGTAGTGAAAGCGCAGTCAGGACCATGCAGATGCACCTTGTGAATGACTGAGAGTTGCAGCTTGTGAACCTGAGATGAGGAACAGTAGACTAACCACACAAATGTGTTCTGTGAATTTGTAGTGGGAAATTGCATGATCTAGGCAAAACAAATAGCAACCACCACAAAAACCCAAACCTGAGATGAGAGGCATTTAGAACCACAAATTGACATGAACCAAAAAGATTTTTTTGTATATATTTTTTAACTGTAATGAAAAAGGTCATTATAACTATCACTATAATGACAAAAAAAAAAAAACCCAAAACACTTTAAAGTGTTTATAGGCAAGTGCTTATTTATGAAGACAAGCTTCTTAGCCTAATGAATGTTTTCGCTGAGACCCTAATACTTGAAAGCATACTCTTTTATTACAAGCACTGAAACAAAGTAAGTTCAAAATTGTTCTAGCCAACAATATTATCCTTAAAACTAAGAGAGGAGTTAACAGTCTTTCATGATAAACATCAAGCAAATGACTCCACAAATGCTAAGCCACCATTGCACATGGCACTATACAGAATGCATAGGCAGAAGAATAGGTGAGCATAATTAAGAGTCCCTGGAAAGAACAAACCCACAGAATGAACCTCAGAATAAAGAAAAAATTAAACACTATTAACTCAGCAAACTAGCAAATCTCTAAGATGAAGAAGGGACAGTTTAGTACATATTATACAACAAGAACTGGTCTTAACTTTAAACAAAAACTGCAAACTGGCAACCTGATTTTTTTTTCCCCAAACAGAAACTCAAGGATAATTTTACTAGACTTTCACAGAAAAGCCCCATGGCAGGCAAGCTGTGACTCTCTGCAGTTGCTAAGAAGTGGGGAATGATGTAATGAAGGGAAAAAAGCTGTGCCATTTGAGATAAGCCAGCATGGGTGTCAGCCCCATG